ATTCTTGAATGTAATTATATGGTTAGCTTCAGGGAAGATCAAGGAACGTGAATTGATGAAAAAATTGGATTGAAAAAGGCTTGAGAATAGATTTTGAAGTTGCTGAATTTTGAGTTATGGAATAAGTTTGGCAGGGTATTTTCTAGCTATCCAAGGTTGAGGAAATGAATGGGGGATGACCCTTTATTTATAGGCAATCAAATGGAATGTCCTAGCGTGTGAAATGATGAAGTTTGGAGGGAAATCATGTGAAGTTGCAAAAAAGAAAAATGTGACTTCTAATTTGATCAAAACTCATCCAAAACGCGTGTTTTGTTGTGCTAATCCATTTTGGAAGTTCACTAAACATGTTTAGAGACAAAAACGCGTGGAAAACTTGTGATTAGAAGCCAAAACAAAGATTTCAAAATCTGACTTGTGATGAAACTTCAGTTCCAAGTTACCAACTTCAAAATCATGGCATTCTCAGCTCAAGGGGTCTTAGGGCATGATTCTTGATGCTTTAGAAAGATGAGGTTACAAGCTTTTCAATGGAAAAAGAATGGAATCAAATGGATGCTTGAGTTGAAAGTTGTGTTGAGTCAAAGTTGGAGAAAAAGGGTTGACTTTCCATACTTAGAAATATTTCAAATTTTTCTTCAAAAGTGACCTATAATGTCTTGCATCCAAACATGGCCTTCCACTTGGATTTTGCTCTTGACCAAAAAAGATGGCATGAAATATACCTATTGAATAACATTTTGGGACTTGAACCATTCAAAATCTCCAAAAAATGAGAGAGTTATGAATTGTTGAATTTGGAAAAAAATCATGAAATGACCTATAATCTTTTGTATCCTTAAGGAAACTTCCATCCATTTTCTCACTTTTCACATAAAATAAGGCATAAATTTCACATCCTCAAGATAATTATGGAAAAATAATGGGCTCAAGGTGATAAACATTGACCAAGTTATGATCATTTGAAGTCACACATGGAAAATTAGGGATTCATCTAGAGGACTTGTAATCTTTCTTCTTCATCAAGTTTCTTCAAGATGAAAACTCCTTGGAACTTTTGAAGTGATTTATTGATAACCATTTGAAGAGAATGATATCTTTGGAATCACTCCAAAATACCAAAATATGAGCAAGATATGCTTCTTTGAAGTTCAAAACTCTAGCTCCTAGATCAAGAAAAATGCCTTGAGGAACTTTGACAATTTTGAACAAACTTCTTGTACCAACACAAATTCTTTGTAAATGTAAGTTGTTGAGGATGATAATGAGAATTCATAGCAACCACAACCACTTCCATATTTTGAGAATTGAGAGAAATATGCATTTGTTACCAATGGGAACAAAGCCTTGTCCAAGCATGACAACTTCTCCATTCAATCCCTTGTGCTTTTGAACCAAATTTGATAATCTTGAAATGTGGTGAACCAAAATAACCTTGCCATGCCATTTCCTCCAAAAACAAATCCAATGGTGAGGTTTGAACTTCTCAAGCTTTATTGACTAGGGAATGGAACTAAACTCATGAACCCATGGAGCAACTTGCTGAATTTTATTGCCTTTACCTACATGAGTAACAAGCAAGACAAACCAACATTGCATTTTATTAATTAAGAGAAGAAATCAAGACAAAAATATTCATGATCACAAAAGAACACAATTCAAGGTGCTTGGTGATTCCTCAAAGAGAAAAGCTAAATATAGGGAGGGGAACCAAGAATCCTAATGTGATCTTGTTGTGATGGAATCAACATGGTATGATGAAGGGATCTTAGGGTAAAAATTGGGGTACAACAACGCTCTTTGGGTTTGTCGAATAGATTGGAGAACCCTAAAAAATTCAGCCATGCGCGTCATTTGAGTTGTCATTTGCTGATTCGACTTGGTGGTATTTTGTATTAGAGGGTTCAACATTGTACTTAAAGTTCAACATTAGTAGGCTTCAAAGCTTAACCATAAATTCACGATCATAACCGCATGTACTAATGTTCCTAAGAACCGTTGCATAAGAAGAATTCCAGAATCTTAACTTCAACAGTAACACATAACCAAATGTTTTCTTCCAGTAGGGTTTATATTCAGAACCTGATGACGGCACACGCCTTGATACCAGAGTTAGAACATTACAGTAGTAGCTACACACTGGAACAAAACCATTAGAGTATACAATTGTTCTTTATGATACCATGTAAAGTTATCATCAAAATCTTAAGGCCAGATGTAGAAACACATCTTGTTCTTACAATAGGTACTAGGAGCTTGTGGAGGCAGAGAGGTATTAGGCTGCTGCTAGGGCGTACATGTTATATCTAATGGCATGTACTCTTTTTAGGAACAAGTCAGGTGTTTATATTGATGTTCGATACACGTGGGTGCTTAGTAGCCTAGAGACTCCATACTGAGCTTGGGGAGTGGCAGCGTTGACCATGTTGTACACGACACTTGGAGTTGCTTCCCAGCCTGAGACCAGACAACTAGCTAGTTATTTGAGCCTATTATAGGTATACTGGCATTTATTTGTTGGTTTTTATTTTTTTAGTATATTATTTATTTATTGGATGTCATATTAATTAGTTTTAATTTATTCAGTACTGGATATACGAGCATTTCATCCACGTCTATGAGAGGAGACAACTGCGTGCCCCAGCAGATGCTCCACATGCAAGGAGATGGAAGGGCAGGCAAGCGATTCATGGTGGTGTTACAGAGTACATGAGGATGCTTGATGCTCTGGCTGTAGAGGATGTTGTTTGGACACCATATACAACTCATCGAGCTTATCGTCCATTTGACAACGCTTCCTTGTATTCAGGGCATATGAGGTGGGAGACCCGCGTGGATAGACAATTGCCTAAGAGGTGTTTGCGACAGTATGGTTATGTCCAGAGCATCCTTCATCCAGTTCAAGAGGCTCCAACCGGTGGCATTGACAGATGGTTTCATAATAATATCATCATCTCTGCTCGTGCCATTAGGGATAACGCAGTTACGGTACAACACCCTTCCAATGCGAGGATGGTTTCCTTGAGTGGTATCTCACTATATCACATCATCGCCTCATACCACCAACTGTGGGGTCTTCTAGTTATAGGGTTTCTGATGCTAAGGTACAGGCTGACGACGTGCCGCCACCACCACCTCTACCTGCCACAGATAACCAAGATAGGCGCCTCCACTTGATTGCAGTTATTGCGGATAACCTCATGGGTTTGGTAAACCCGGATGGTGATATTTTTACAGGATTATCTAGGCTAGCCGACATAGCCCGTGGGGGCCTATGTATTTGTATTATATGATGTTTGTATTATATGTATATTTTGTGACTCAGACTACTTATCGCAGTACTTATTTATTGCTTAATATTTTTGAGATTACATGTTTTGATTCAAAGATTAACACAACATAAAACAGTACAACAAACATAAATTAAAAAAAATTAAACATGAAAACCTAGATACTACCAGATGATTCTGGACGTTTCAGCATCTTGATTATGTCGTTGACAGATCTTGTTATCTACGCATCAAACTCGATCAGACCCTTAGTTATCATACGACGAAATGATTTCCACATAGCCTTCACATCTTCATCGATCTTCAACTCAACCATGTTGTATTTCACACTTCCATTTGTATCAATCCAATCTTCATGAAACTCGATCTTTCTCACCCTTCTGTTATCGGTATCAGACAACAATTCATTCAATTTTTCTTTCAAGTTGGCGAGGGTTATAATACCATCTGGAAGCTTGAATTCAACAAGAGGATTATTTTCGTTGAAATACACTTCCGCCTTAATTAGAAATTGATAGAGATATTTTTTTGATGTCTTTCTCTATATCACCTTGTTTATATAAATTTGGATCCACTCTAGATCACACAAATTTATCGGTGCAATCAAAATCCTACAAAGATGTTAGAAAAATCATGATCGTTAAAAATGTCAGAATCAATACACTATAAGAAATTTCATCATACAACTAAATTTATGGTATAGAATGATAGAATTTGAAATTTCTAGAAATAATTAACTCTTACTAGAAATTTCAAATGAACTACAAGAAATTTGTACATACCAAAAATTTCAAATCAACTACCAGAAATTTGTACATACTGAAAATTTTGTACATATCGAAAATTTTCACTAATGTAACAGAAATTTCGTTCAAAAAAATTATTCTTTTTTACCAAAAACATTTTTAAGATTATGAAAATATGAGAATACCAGATATAATTAGAAGGTGGCAAGTTAAATCTTCCCTAAAGTTGTGCGCGAGACCAAAATTTTATGCAGAATTGTTTTTACTAGCTGTCTCTATATTATATGCAGCTGCTACAACAAATTACTTATGCCTCTACAAAAAAAAACAATAGTATTCTCTCACGGTATAAAAACACAAGCTAAATTTTGATCCTAAATCTCAAGATAATCAAACTCATTATTTATACATTTTTCATTGCATCTCATTATTTTCAAACACAGAGCTTCAAGCTCACATTAACATCTAGAAACATAATACCTTCGTAAATCTTAACTCAACTGATAAAAAAATTGATATTATTAGGTTTTAATGTCAATACCAAACTTCAAACCATGAATTTCACGGTTTTGTGTGTATTTATAGTGATTATTACCACTTCGTCTGCATACAAAAACAAAACACCTTCACAAAATCAAGATTTGGTAGAAAAATAATAAATCATTCATTCCTATGACTGTTTTTTTTTATAAAAGAATAAACCATTCATCCCTGCATTACTCAACAGGCACTGACATAACGATCCTCACACACCTCTGTTGAAATGGTGATACATATGGGCATATATGCTAAACATTTTATTTTAACGAAGTTTGAAATAATGTTGAATATATGGAAGCAAAGTACTATGCGTAATAACCTAAACGAGAATCTTATCTGCGCCAGACTCAAGAGTCACCAGAAAACACAAGACAATATTCAGCATAATTTGAGAGCTCGCAGCACCAATATATCATCAAGGACTCTAGTTCTTCACGGTTGTAACATACTTGAGAAGCATGGAAACAATATCTCCTGAAATTCTAGCAGCCTCAGTCTTCAGCTCATGGATTTTTGTATCAGTCTCTTGCTCAAGTCTCTTGACATTAGCACCAGAATCTCCACTGCTCTGTATTCATTGAAAGAATGAACACAAACTTATAATGAGATAGAAACAAAGTCTAACAGAAACATTTTCCACTTATTACTGAAATCAATCATCAATGTACCGCTGATAATTTCTGTTGAAACTGGTTTTCCAAAAGAGTTCGCTGTTCAGCAATCTCCCTTTCAGCCTCTTCTTTGGCTTGTTTCAGCCTAGCATATTTTTCTAACAGTAGAGATTCAGAATACTGATTAGTGTACAAATAGAGAGATTAAACATAACCAATATAATTACAATAAAGAAAAAGTAAAACAAAAAAGAAGGGGCGAAGGATAACCGGTCAATCATAGCAATATTTCATAATTTGTTCTGCGACATATATGAGAACACAAGAAATTTCATACTCATCATAAAACCAATATACTCCAGAAGGATAAAGAGAAGGAAATTCACTTTACATAAAATAGCATGGTAAGATCTTTTAGTGAAAACCCAAATGGACAAAAAACGAGATGACATCGTGTCAAGGTAATCAACATGCAGTCATGCAGAAATAATAAATGAAGATTGGTTACAATACCATTTTTTGCAGCATTCACAATCGCCTGTGCCTCATGTTCAGCAGCCAACAACTGTTGAATTCCACCTTGACGACTGTTGGATGCCATTCTGTGATAAAATTACCCGTCAAAAAAATAGAGCTAAAATAGAGCTACCAGAGAGTAAAATCATAACATGCACATTCTAGTCAAATAATCCACAGTTGTATCTGTCTATGTCTATGAAGCACAGACACCAGAAACACGACACTGACACGTCGACATCGGCAATAATTTGAAAAAAATAAATAAATTAAACATAATCACAAGATTTGGTGTTAGTTTCAGACACTTCTCAGAAGTGTCAGTGCTACATTTGGAGTGATCAAGTTTAAATAATATTCCACACAAATCACCAATTTAATCAAGAAACAGTACACATCAAATAATTCGGTATTGAAATTAACTAAATTTCAAAATCATCTATGAGATTGATAATCTTCAATCACATTAGTCCTTTGGATTGGCCAATTTAGTTCTGATACTTGATTTCAGAAATTCAAACAGATCAATCAACAGAAAATCGATCAGATGCAGATGAAAATTTAATCAACAATTATGCAATAAACGCAGTGGAGAAACCAAAAGGAATGCAAGTTGAAGTAAGTTAAAATACGAATCGGATTCGAAAACGGTTGCATCGATATTGATATTGCAGATCTGAAGAAATGAACGAGAGAGAGAGAGAGGCATACCTATCGAGTGTTAAATTCAGACGAAACCAGAGAAAGAGTGTGTGAGAGAACCCGAAGATTTGTGTAATTATTTTTGCTTTTTAGAATAAAAAGATTTGTGTAATTTTGATATACACTCACCTATTTTTATTTTCTTTACAAAATTAAAAACATATAAAAATAATTTTCTCATCTATAAATTTATATCGTTCAATAGAATTATAATATTCAATTATGTTATATCAGTATTTTAAAATTTTAATTGAATTAAAACATTTGATCATATTATATTAGTAATTTACAATTAAAAATATGATTTGATAAAATATATGTCGTCTATGATGTTTAAAAATATTTTACAACTATTAATACATACTCTTTTTTCTCTATATTTAAATGCTTCACATGCATTTTTTTCTCCTCACTTTTAAATTTTTTCATTTTTTACTTATGTTTCCATCCCGTTGTAGTGTATTTTAGAAGGAAAAGATTAGATAATTTTAATTTAAAGGTGTTTTTTAAAATTAAAAAAATAATTGTTAATATAAGATTCTATATGAAGGTGTTTGTTTTACGGAGTCAAAATTTATTTCTGGAATTATAAATTCTGGAAAAATAAAGGTAGGAAAGTTATTTCAAGAAAATTTTTAAAATAGTTATTTTGTAAACATTTTGATATTCCTAAAAAGAATTTAATTTTAATCAAAATTTTTGAAAAAATTTATAAAATTTCTTTAGAATCTATATTCTCATCTTTTTACATGGGAATGATTTCATGGAAATATGAGAAGTTATGAAGAAAAAAAAAATTTCTTGGAATCTTTATACCCATAAATCATTATTTTCAATTTTGAAACATATATAGGTATCCTCATATCTTATTCATATATTCTCGAGAATCTTATTTCTAAACTTGAAACAAATTCCTCTATGAGTTAGACTTGAATCCTCTCTTTTCCTCTTTTCTCTCTACTTATTTCTTTCACTAATTTTTTCTCTATCTCTCTTATATTTCATCTCTCTTCTTTAATTTATAATTTTTTTTATTAATTTTCACTTTTACTTTACACTTGTTTGAGCGAAAGAGAAGGAATTAGGGAAGGAGAGGATTCAAACTAATATGAGTTGGATAATCAAGTCAATCTATTTTATCTAAATTCAACTTAAAAATGATTTGGATTAGGTGAACCAATAATATTAGTTTATTAAATAATCAAATTGTTTCGAACTAGTTAAATGGTCAATACCAAAGACTTAAAGGGTTCAATCCAACACACTCTCACTCAAGGTTAATATATAAGTGGACTCTCGCCACAAGGGTACCTACGAGAACTAGGCCACTTGCCCATCTTAAGACACTGGATCTTATCCAGTGATTTCTCCCATTATGTGTCTCGTCAACCGAGAGGAATTTCAATTGTCCATCATATATAAATTTGTCTACACGCCATAACAGATACATTTTATCGACCAAGTGACTTCAAACACAAAAGGGAGATGAATTGTGTTATATGGTTTTCGATTTTTTTTACAAAAAAAATAATTTTAACTAGGTCAATCTTAAGCATAGAGATGAAGCAGAGATTTAAGTGTGGAAGATAAAATTCAAAAAAACTAAGAGAAAAATAAGAAAAATGGCACCAAGATTTCTACTGTTCCATGTGAAGTTAGGGCGCAAAAAGACCTACAACTTGTAATATTTTCTTAATATGATGCAACTCTACATTAACTATGAAGAGAAACTCTTGGTCATAGAGACTAGTCGTGGGCCTATAAATATCAAATCAATCCAACTATCAGAGAAAGATGTTGGTCAGTCCAAAGAAGGGAACGGGTGTGAACCCCGCTCTAGTTTTGGTGCTTATACCCCTTAAACAGTTAATAGTATAATAAGCCTAAACAATGCATTTTCTGGTTAAAGAGTCCTCACAAACAAATAAGTTCAAACACTTTCGTTTCTATAAAAGTCATTACCATAATACAAACGTTTGCATCTAGCTGAAAGATGTAATTGAGGAAATAATCAAGAAAGTTCGGCTAACGAAGTACACTAAGGATGGAAAGAGAGGGTTGGAAGACTCCCCAAAGAAGAAACAATCCTAAAAAAAATTGTTGAAGTTATTGTCGAGTCCAAGGGAAAAGATACCAACAATAGGGAGGAAGAAGGCCACAAGAGGAAACACCAGTATATCATCTTCATCACTGGTGGCACCCCAAGGGTGAGTAACCCGTCCAAGGGGACATTAAAGAGGAAGATTGTTGAACTAATGGTCGATAGCATGAAAGACTATATCACCTTAACGAAAGGGTCAGAGAGGCCAATCCTCAAGTTCTCCAACAAAAAGATATATATGAGGGATCCTGGATAAGATCTTCCCTCTAGTAATAATAGCCACAATAGCTAACTTTGTCGTCTAAAAATTAGTCATTGATGTCAACAGTTCTTATGACATCATGTAATAGGATCTCTTTGAGAAGATATGGCTAAAAAGGGAGAAGTTTTGGCCCTATGAAGGGTCTGACCAATATGCCATCAATGATACTATAACATGTCCTTGAGGGTACATTGAACTAATGGTCACATTATGAGAAGGAAGGGATACTAGAACTATTGATTCCCAATTCTTGGTCCTTACAGTAGCGTCTGCAACTACTTCTTAGTACAAACCTTCTCAGCAACGTGGGAAAGAATAGTATCACCAGTCCACCTCAAGATAAAGTACCACAACGTCCATGATGAGCTGGTGATGATAAGGGACAATCTATTTGATTTACATGTGAATTCACCCACAAGAGGTAGGAGGGGTGAATTGGGAGTTTCAGAAACACTTGAATTTGAAAAACTTTGGAGATTAAATTCAAAGTTAGAAAACCATTTTAGAAATTTTTTTAAAGTAAGCAGTGGAAATTAAAATTCATAAAGTAAAATGCGAAAATTAAAAGTTAAGGGAAGAAAGAAGACACTAAGAATTATACAGGTTCAGCCAAAATGACTTAATCATGTCCCCAAGATTTTATCTTGAAAGTATCCAATAAATTTAAGAGTTTTTAGTATGTTGAAAGCCCGAACCCCCTTATACAAGGAAAATGAAGTTTGTGGCTAACTTCCAACCAAATAGCAAACAAGAGAGAAGCGGCGAGTCTTCCTTCCAAATGATGGATCAAATCGATTATTCTTCTTTCCACAAGAAACTTGGAATGGTTAGTCTTCAAGCTTCAAAATAATACTTTACACAGGACAGTTTTGAACCTGATGAAGGTAGAGAAAACACAAGAAAGGGGGGTTTGAATTGTGTTCATAGAAATCATTCCCCTTTAGAAATTCTTAGCACTCAAATGATAATATCTATAAAGATAATGAAGAGAAAAGGACACAAGTATTTTATCCAGGTTCGTCGTTAACTAGGCTACTCTTGTCCACCCCCTTAAGGATAATTTCGCCTTAATAATCTATAACGAAACTTATTACACTTGCAAGGGAAACCGCCGGTGACTAACACACAATGGCACATTCAATGATCCAACCAGATATAATATTCATTGACCCAATAGAATCTGATCCCTCGAGATCTCCTACCAGGATTTCCTTTCAATGATATCCATCAGTGATCTCACAAGAGTTTGACCTTCACTCGGTCCCCTTTGAGATATGACTACCATTGACCCAACATAATTTGATCCCGCAAGATCTCCTATCAGCATTTCTCATAATGATCGCAACCATTATCTTCTTGAGATCCGACTTTCACCAAGTCTCCCAAGGAATCAATCAACAATAGTTGATGGTGATCTTGTGTTTATATGTATGCTTCTTCTAAGAAGATTACACAAGTGTTTTAAGCACATATTATTTAACACCTTTCTAAGCAATAACTCAAGTGTTAAAATAATTTACATGAAGAGATATAAACTGAATCACTATACGAGCGATAACTCTAGTGTTCATTACAATGCTCTATAAAGATGTATATGATCAGAAGTTGAGTAGCATCTTGTAGTGTTCTTCTTCATCTTCTTGTTGAGTAAGTACAAGCAACAACTCATTGCTTCTTCTGAGATCTTCCAAGATGTATGTGATTGAAAGTTGAATAACATCTTGTAGTCTTATTCTTCTTGAGCAAGTTATGAGCAACAACTCCCTGCTTCTTTTGTTTCATCCAAGATGCATATGATGATAGTTGAATGACATCTTGTTGAAATCTTCTTTCTTTTCTTTCTTTTTTGGTGGTCTTCAGAATGTGTAGCATTACAACTTTAACATCTTCAACATCCACTGCTTTCCTTTCACAGTATAAAGCTTGATGGTCAATGGAAAACGACTACTTTTCTTTGAATCTTCAATCTTTATTTATATCCTTTGATAGAGAGAGACGTTGTGAGGATAGAAAATGACTTTTCCTGCACCAACGGTTAGTTCCCAACAGATAGAGTAAGGTGTAAGAGTTTAGACAATATAAAATAATATTCCAGTATCCTGTCACTGTTCAATGATAGCTTTACATCTTTTCTCTGAATAATGTTTTTATATTAAGCTTGTAAACAGAGATCCGTTAAGTAAAGAAAGATGGTTGTAAATCTAGCTTTTTGTTCCCAACAGTCACAATGAGAGTGGTTGACAGGATAATATAAAGGATTGTATTTACGCCACTCTAGAGGGTAGAGGTCATAAACACTTTATGTACCTTTTGCACAATATCACACATTAACCATTTGAACTTTCTTCTTATCTTCAGAGACTTAAGAAATTTGAATGTTGAACGTTGAAGCTTGTTGTAGAAGATTCTTTCTTATGTCTTAGAACCTAAGTCTTGGAGTCTTCAGAACTTGTCACACAAAACCTTGTCTTCAAAGTCTTTAGCACTTGGTTGTAAGAAATGTATTTTCTTCATATCATTAAAACTTGTTCAGTAGAACCTCGTCTTCATAATCTTCATAACTTGTAACACTTAGAAGAAAAGCTTTAGAAGGCCTCCAAAGCTTAACCATAAAGTCACAATTAGAACCTCTTGTACTAACTTTCCTTAGACATATTACAGAAGATAGATTCAGAACCTTGACTTCAACTGTAACACGTAACCACGTGTTTTCTTCTAGTAGTGTATGTTCATAACCTGATGACGTCACACATCTTGTACTAGAGTCAGAATATTATAGCAGCAGCTACACACTATAACAAAACCATTAGTGTGTATAATTGTTCTCTAAGATAACATGTAAATTTATCATCAAAATCTCAAGGCCAGATGTAGAAATACTTTTTGTTCTTACAATCTCCCTCTTTTTTGATGATGACAAAACCATGTATTTTGATAGAATAATTTATACAGGGTAATCACTATAACAGACAAATTCAGAGTTAAGCTCACAACTCCCCCTGAATCTGTTAAACCCAAAATTTCATTTAAGCTTGTTCAGAGTCTCCCCCTGAGCCCAAGACTCACAAAATAGATGTTGAGCATTCAGAACATAGAATAGAGAAGTAGCACTTCCCTACAGTAACTCATCAGAGTCTGACTAGACCACCTGATCTTCATCTCAAAACCTGGTTTCTATCAGCACTTGATGAAGAATCAAAACCTGACTTGAGCCTAATTAAATAATGCCACACAACATGTATCAACACTATGTTCCTTGATTCTGATATCTCAACTAAAACACTATACTTCTCAAGCATCAGCGTTTGATCTGATATATTCCAATGTATCAAACATTAAAATACTATCCAGTCAGTCTTTAGGTCTAGAAATTTAAAATGTCTCTTTGATATAATAAATAAAATTATTATTTAAAAAAAACAATAAATTTATTTATTTATCATCTTTGTTCACTTTGTATCTATGCATAGTTTTTCCAACGTTGATTTATTTAGTTTTGTTATTTAAAATGTATATAATAGTTTATTTTGAAATTATTTATATAACTATTTTAAAATAGAAAATATTATGCCATCCTTTTAAATTTTAAATTCTACTTTTGTTTCAAATAATTAAGATAGCACGGTTCGTAATGGAGCATTGGGAAGAATATTGAGCATAATGCTGCGCGTTCAATTCTCATTGCGCTACCTTTTATATTTTATTGTTCTTTTGTGTTTTTTTTATTTAAAAAGGATAAAGAAGTCATTTTTAGATTATTTTATTATTATTTTCATTTTCTATTTTAAGACTATTTTAAATTTATTTTTTATTTTTCAAATATTTGATTTTTATGCACTTAATATATAAGTTAGGAAAAAATAAATTAAATATTTTTAAAATCAATCTCAATATTTGAAATAGTCATAAACAAGGCTATATTCATAATCTTGTTCACCAAGTTATGGATTAAATTTCAATCAATTTTCAATCTTCAAAATCATGTCAAAAATAGATCAATCTCACTTGTTTCACTTTGAATATTTTTTGTTACTAACTATTTCTATTTTCTAATTATTTTCAAAATCAGAAAAATCATGTTTTTTAT